GAGATTGTTTTTTTTTAAATTTGTAATGTTTTTACATAGCTAAATGCAAATTTAAAATTATTTTAAATTTTATTTGTGGTTATGCCATCGATAAACTTTTCGAGAAGTTAGCTATTTGTTTAAAAACAGGAGAATGATGGACGTGAACTTCTCTCGTGAGAAAAAAAGTATAAGAAAATGGATAGGGTTCGCGTCTTCGTCATTTAGGAAACTATCTGTTGTTGACAGCTGCTTTCTATTCTATTGATTGAATCGTTCATGGAATCATGGCTGAAATTGAATTCGAATGATCAGTTCTCTTTTTAGTAGCAAGGGACCACCTTATATTCGCTTCTCAATTCGTAGAGACGATAAGGAAGGGAAACGCGAAAGCTAAACAAGAAATCCAATCTTTACTTGAATCGTACATATTATTCTTTCGACGTTGTATATCGTATTCTATTACACGTTATGTTTACATTTGAAAAGTTCAAGAATATATTTTGCTTCATGAACAACTTCAATCTCTGATATTACAATATATTTTTGATTAATTAGACACTCACGATTCGGCGGTACTTACGTAGTGCAAAATATGAAAGCTATCGGAGAAAATCAAATGATATGCCATAAACCATATCAAAAAATCGAAGCAGTGGAATTTGGTCACGATAAGGTAAATTTTGCAAGTTGATTACTAATTTGTAACTTTTCCTTGTCTTTCTACTATTTCCGATAATGTAGAGATAGCTCAGAGTTCGTATTCTTGAAAAATATTCAAGAATACTATAGTATGCATTTACGTATATTATAGATTTTCTTAGTATTTTGTATTTTATAATATTTTTTTGAGATTATAGCTCCTTATTATATGTTATATTCGAGTTTTATTCGAACGAAATTGTCGAGTATGAATAGAAGGCACGTGTCTTTTGCAATAGAAAAGAGTGAAGCGACGCAGAGATAAAATGAGCTTGCAAGACGCCAAGGAAGAGCGCACGTCTGCCCTCAGCGTACGGCTCTTTCTAAAAGAATTTTGTGTAGAATTTCTAAGCGGGGCTTACAACCCCGTGATGAAATTCACTCGATCTTGCTTCATCAATGACCCTCATGGCCAAGCCGTGGAAGCAGCTGTCTATCTGTGGGCCTTACGTTTCTTCATGGAGTTCAATCGACATTACAAGTTTCAAGTGAAATATGTAAGGTAAATCTTCGCGCTTTAAGTTTCTCATAGCGAAGTCTACATTGTCGCATACCTCGGCTAAAGAGGCAGAAAGCGAGACAGTTTACGAACTCGTTTTACGCATCGTCGCTTTCTTTCGGATCTTGTCTAGAAAGAAAATTCTCCAGCGTCCGCGCAAATAGGCTGAACCATCTAACTTTATGTCATAGAATAATTTTTACAACGGTTTCGAATGGTATTAAATGTCACAGAATGTCTATATTAATATAATTTTTTTTGAAATGATAAACATTTATTTAAATTATTTTTTTGTATCAAAAGTTTGTTAAAATTTATTTATTAAGCTAGATCTGTACTGATCCTATACATATATTTACACATTTCTTGATTAAACAATGTATGTATGTTATATAGTTCGTATTTTGTTTACAATTCGTTAGCTGCAATATACGCCAATGTATATAATTCTTCATTTTTGTTGGATCAAATTTTATTGGCAGATTGATTCACCGATATCGATTGTTGTTACAATCATAAAAATAAAAAAAAAGTTTTTTATTTTATACATTTTTTGCACATATTTAAAATTTGAATATTTTGTAAAGTTGCCTAATATGAGATACCTTTTTTTAAAGACTTGTAATTTATTTAATTTGCAACCTTAATTCCTATTTTCGTATTAATTTTATGGGAAATATATTCAAGATTTATCACCAAAAGTTAGCGATCGATAGTAGCTATACTTTGTTGTATGTGAAATTTTTTTTTCGAAAGTGCCGATTTTGTTCATTTAAAGAAAGGATCTCTAATATGAGATATAAGGGTTTTCTTGTATGAGATCTTATAACAAAAAACTAAGGAAAAACTAAAGGTAAGCTTTTTATATATGCTTTTATTATATTACAAGTAGGAACAAAGAATTTGAATGTTATACATAATAATTATATAATTTTTGGATGTGTGTGTATGTGAGTATGTGAGTGTGTGTGAGTAATCTTAACAATAGAATCATCATTTTAATATTTCGTTCAATAGTATGTTTTGAAATATTGAATTGTTTATGCTCTCTATTAGGTAGGAATACCTTAAGTATCTCATATTATGATTTCCATGCCTTGTGGTTTCATTAATATCACTGCAGACTTTATTACCAAATATTTATTTATTATATAAAAAACAAGATTTGAAGATTAATCTCAATAAAATTCGACAACATCCAATTTCAAGACTTTTCTTTTTTCACAACTACTACACGCATGATTTAATAATGAGTTTTCTACTAAATATGTTTTCTACTAAATATATTTCACTCTATAAGTAATAAGTTCATAATAAAATCAATCACATTTTATTAGTTTAGTAGAAATCCTGCTATCTCATATTGGGAATCTATCTCATAATAAGCAACCTTACCTTATTATTAATCGGAAGTTCACGAAAAAGTTCATTAAAAAATGAATTATTTTATTTTACTATCTAGCGAAACTATATCTACAGAAGTGTTTTATTTAGTGCAAAGACAAATGGACCAATATTATGAGATGATAATAGTCGATAAAAAAAAGATACCACTTTGGTCTCGTAGATTACATTTGGCATTAAAGGCATATCAGGTAGGAATTTTATGATAATTAATATTACGTGTGAATATTTGGAGAAACTAACAAAAATACATCTCACTTTTTAGGAACTTCTTAACACTCTTATGGCAATGGATAAGAATAGTGATGATGGTGTTAGAGAATCTAGCAAGATAATTAAAAGTAATATCTTTTATGTCCCGGAATATCGGGAAACGATACTCTCTCAGCTTTTGTGCTTCGATGAAGTTAAAATGTCACGGTGAGTTAATAGAACTTCGTCATTATTATTATCGCAAAAATAGATTGTAAACGTCGCATAAATAAATTGTGTAACTTTATCGTTTTGATTACTAAATACAAAAGTAAAAAATTGAAAGTGACTTGAAACATTTTAAAAAGAAACTAATAGAAATTACGAAGGGAAGAAAAATTATTAAAAGGAAAAAAAAATTGATTTCACAGTTGTGCTTTTATTGTTTTTAATTGTCAGTCATTCCCCTTTTAATTTAGCAGAATAAGTCGCTAAATCCTTTATGAATCTCTCGCAAATTTCTCGTGAATTTTTTTTAGCAGGTAATAATGTAATGCAGATATCACAAAAAGTTATGTGACGCATCATCCTACGCTGAACAATGCACGTCTCTACCGAGCAAATTTGCGTCATAGAGAGAGGAGAGGGGGGGGAGAAAGGAGGAAAGAGAAGGAGAGGGAGGGAGAGGGAGAGAGAGAGAGAGAGAGAGAGAGAGAGAGAGAGAGAGAGAAACTCTTTACCGAAAGTTTTATCTACCGCAGACAGATTGATTCACTTTCGGATCAATCGGTTCGACCAGCCAGGAAGCCACTCTGGCTCCCTCCGATGCTGTTCCTTTTCGACTATTTCTCTTCTTCGGCGGCTGGTCTCGGTACCACGCGCTCACACCCACCCGGTTTCTTCCTCCCTTCTACGGTTCGGCGGAATAAACAACTTTTATCGACCTTCCGGCCGGCGAAATGGGAAAAGGCGGTGGGCGTTCAACTTGCTACGAGTTTGACGGGTTTTGCGCGGATTTCCACGACGGAAATGTAAGGGTGGCGCGACGTACCGCAATGCCACGTTGCTGCTACTTTGACGTTACAGGGACGCTGACGAAAACAGGACGACAGTTCCGTCAAACTTTAGCTTTGATGGCGGTAGCGCGCGTTGCCGGAACTAAATTGACAAATTAATGCGCGAGTAGCAGGATTGAATTAATTTCTTGTCACAAGGAAGGAAGGAAAGCGGTTTAAGTTTACCATCGGCTTAAAACAATGTAATTACATGAATATGCTTATCTTTTAGGCAGTACTTAGTGGATCTTATCACAACTATTCATACATTTCTGAAAATACTTGAACACTACTGTCAGAAAGGCCAGCAACATCTCGTAGTTCAAAAAATAAAGTTAAAGAGAAAAAGAACTAAAAAGGGAAAAAGTAAGATTTGTTTTTGTATTGACTGTTTAGAAGAATTTAAAATTAAATTTGATAATTTAACGTAAAATTGTTGAATTTTTTTTAACCAGAGTCTACTCAGGAAAATGTAACAGCTCCTACTTTGGAAGAACGTTGGGATATTATTGGTCCCGAATTATCTGCTGTTATGCGCGATGCCGTTATACCTGTAGTGGTGCCGTTTGATGCAACCTTAGACACACCTATCGACGATCAAAAGTACATATTAACATTATGATGATTAAGTAGAAGAATTATATTTACGTTATTATTGATATATTATTATTGATATATTTGTTGAAATGATTGAAAGTATATACGATCGTCTACGATTTCTTTTTTGTTTCTGATTATAGAGCAGATGCTATGAAGAGAATCCAGAAATTAATGCGACAAAGAAACTTGGAACAGGCAGTCGGTCTTCTACGTGCAGCAAGGTAAGGGATTTGTTTATTTTGAGAAGTGATTTCTAGAAAGTAGCTTGTTGTCATGAAATTCATGCTGAAGCGATGGCATTGTTGTTTATTTTGAAAATCAGTTTTGCACCTAAACTATTGTCATGCAATGCGATGAGTGAGTTACAAAGTAATGACATTTCTGTTACTTTGTTTAATTGAAATGCGACAGATTGCTTGCATTAAAATATCATATATAATTATAATATTTCGCTTGCAATATCGTAATTTATGTTCTAGGCGATTAATACATATGTAAATTTTTATGGAATTTTTAGTTTGGTCGCTATAAAAAATCTTTTATTTCTTATCTCTGGATTTTTATCGTTTAATTTTTAATTCACATTATTTTTTAACAATAATATTATATATCAATATATAGAAATCTTTGTTTTTTTTTATCTTTTTATACATTTACAACGCTTATATTTTTGTGAGGGAATTTACAGTTTTCAATTACAGAAGATATATTTTCGAGGTAAGTCAGTTAATTACGGGGATTGTGCAGGCTTTGTTTTGTCAAACAAAGGCGTTCATTATGTTAGGGTTAGAGGGTCAGTAAGAACAAGGGATTTATTCACGTAAACTTGATGAATTTTGGATCCTTTGAGCCAAGCGTATATAGTATATGTGAAATATAACATAAATAAAAGTAAAATATAGATAGTAATATAATAATGACGTAAATACGTAATATTAATATACTTTCTGATTACATAATATTGTAAAAGTTATGATTCGGTTCATTCTCTTTCTCATATATTTATTTTCTTGAATTATTTATATATAAAATCATATACTTAACACAAAATTCGTTTATTATCTTGTTATTTTCATTTAAAAAATTAATTCAAAAATGTTCTATAAAAAATAGTTAATGAAAAACTTATTATTCTTTTGTGATTTTTGTTTGATTATAATTCCTATAATATATTAATTACGCTTATTGAGCTATTTGAGATTTTTTTTTGGCTTTGTGCATCGACCAGTCACACGGCCAATTAACTGGCGAAAAGCCAAGCGTTTGCACTGCCGCAGATATTTACATTACATTAAATCTGAAAGGGATCTACCGCGCTCTTGTAACGCGTCGGTATACACCGGTTCATCGGGGTGAACCGGTACCCAACCAACTCTTTGAAGTGTTCCAGCTCTAAATGTGCCTATGAGTCATGTCCCTCTGTCAACTTGTTTCTGCGTTCTACCTCGCCAACTCTTCTCCCTCTAAGGCTTAATCGCTGCCTCGATGCTTTTCCGCGAGATTCGATATACCCTTCGCTGATAAACTCCGTCGACGTGTAAATAGATTCTTTACGCGGCTCGTCTCAAAGCATTTTCGCTTTTACGCTATAAACGCGTACACAGATCGTGTATGTCTTAAATTTTCTTTATACAGAATAATTCAGTAAATATCAAAAAATAACGTTTATCATCTAAATTTCACAATCTCAAATTACCTTGTCAGTGACATTTAAAAATAACCGTTGTGCGCTAAGACGTTAGTTTTAACTGAGAATACCGGATACAGGGCGTTGTACCATTAATCTTTAACTTTATTAGTTCTATCAGATTGGAGTGCCGTGATATAACCGCGGGAATAAAAGTCGGGTTTATCGTCACCGCCTTCCTCTATCATAAAGCTATGAAATTATAGTCCCTTCCGCGATTTTTCTTTACGTGATATCATCACTGCGAACTACTTCGGGAGATTGTACGTAATATTCCATCGTCCATTTTATGGAGGTAATGTTTACTATGGCTGGTACACAATGGTAGTCTGTAGGACCATGCCGACCTTGTGCACACAAGGGGATAAAAGTAGCAGACTGTTGACTACGCCGTATATAGACTACGCCTAAGCGCAGACAATATTGTTAATAAGGCATTTACGGTAATACGTACGTAAGACAAACAATGTAATACCCCCCTATTCTCTTCGCGTACACGTCTTCGTTTCTCAGTTACGGTAGTACTTCTGGTAATCGTGTTTCGTTTGCCTAGCAAATATTCCGTCGTCTGGCTACTGGTTTTAGCCCTCTAATTTTCCATTTGCACCGTCTGCGACCCTCCATACAATAATTTTAACTTACGAATTGCGTAAGATGATTATGACTTACTATGAAAAAAATCTTCAATTTATCATTTTCTTCTTTTCTTATCTAATCGCAGTGCAGTAATGATTTCATTGTTTGCGAAGCACCAGCTTGAAATTTTCTTTCACTATGTATTTTAGAATATTGTGATTAATATGTTGAAACAAAATCTAGTTTATTCAAGAACATTGGAAATATCTGTTTCTAGAATAACTTTGTCTTCTTGCGTATAGTTAGGAGAATAATAAAAAAAAAAAGAGAAGAATATCTGTAGAGAGAAATCTTGGAGAGAATTCTTAAAGAGAACTTGTCAGAAGTATGATAATGTAAATACATTTAAGTGCTTTTCTGTGACAATTTAATATCCAAGTCCGAAGGCTGATTCATCTCTTTGCCAAGCATGAAAATGGACGTGTCGAAATTATCTATTTCATGTCTGGCAAAGCGGTATCGGCTTGTATGTCGGAACGCTGAGTCGGAGGATGACGACGACGACGCTGGCGACGACGACGATGACGACGACGGGCACGGCGCGGCGCGTCTGAGAGATTCCATTGTCGCGGAACTTCAAATCGAGGGATAATGGGGATTGTATGCTGCTGAATTTCTATTCAGGAAGCCAGCAGCCAGTACCAGCATCGTACGAGCCACTTCTTCCGCTTCGGGGACAGCACCCTTCCTCTTCTTTTGCGTCCTCTTCCTTTGCGTCAGCTTATTGGATTCATCTCCAGCGGAGAAAATTTTGGAAAGCTTTCGAAAGTGAACCGGACTTTCTTGACCTGCGAACCTAAAATTCGCATACAGCAGAAAAATCGTTATACAGCTTGACTTGCGATTAGCATATGAAAACGATAAGACTGAATTTTTTATTCGAATGGCAGTTATAAAAATTAATGAATATTTTTTTATAATTAAGTTTTAATAATAAAAATCAATAGTGAGAAAATATATTTTTCTAATTTCAATTACTACTTAATCAAAGATAAACATTTTAATTATCATATAGGCTTAATTTAATATATATTCAATACAACTGGAATCAAAAGAATCATCAACTATAGTCGAATTTCATAACAATTGTTTTTACTTTATTTTTAGTGTCTTGTATACGCCAGCTGCGACTCGACTAATGTGCACTATATGGATTACGTGTTTGCTCGCGTGTAAACGTGGATGGATCATGTCCAAACTTGATTTCAATCCGAGTCGTATATTGTAAAACGTATAGTTGTGTCGCGTGTATACGCATAAAACGAACCACGTTCTATGTGCATACGTATCCGCGTTAGAATCGGCCATACGCTTCGCTTTTATATAGTACAATTGCAACTAAGTGCGATTTCATGTCAAGTGACCAAATCCAATTCTCTGGATTTTAATGCGACTCCAGCTCTATTAGGACGGAGTAAAGTAGAAACGATTTTCATTATCAATCGCGCAATGCTATGACAATGGAAGGAAGAAGAAAAGATTTTTATCGCCATTGTTATTTTTACAGCTGAAAGCTACATGATTACAGTGCAAAAGTATTGATAAAGAAATCCATCATCGTAATATTATAATTTTTATTGTAGTCTTCATAGTTTGTGTTTCTTTTCTGTTTGAATATACAAATATTGAATTTAATCACCTATAAAATTAAAATTTTTCATAGTTGTAATCTTTTCACGAAAAGATTTTGCTGCATTAGCTAAAAATTTAGCTAATTCATATACAGAGCTGAAAATAATTTTATTGGATCCAAATAATTATGTAGAATGTTCAAGCTGAGATAAAATCAAAATTTTTTTGTAATTTTGTTGTTTATCATGCTTGAGCATTATTATTTTGATGATTCAACAGAATTATTTTTAAATCTGCTTTTAGCTTTTTGGATACTTCAACAAAACCGTTGTTACTATGTGGCTGCAAATTTTTATAGTTTGATTATAATATTTAATTTGATGTATTTAAAACTGGAATTGAATAATAATTATAATCTCTCCTTCCCTCCCTCCCTCCCTCTCTTCCTCCCTTCCTCCCTCCCTCCCTCTCTCCCTTCCCCCCTCCCTGTTCTACCGTAATAATCTTAATAATCTTATAATCTTTATATATTTATCAATACATACAAAGATATTTAATAAAATATATTAACAACAAATTTTATAGATATTTAAGTTTGCAAGAAAATAATTCTCAGTTATGAAAAAAAATTTTATGTGATAAATAAGTTAAAAACTGCATAACAGTACAAAGTTTTTTTTTCATGAGAATAGTTTTTGAAGTTGTATATATTTTTTTATATGTAATTAAAAAATTGTAAACAGATATCTTCAGTGTACATTTAAAACGAATGAAATGATATTTGAGAATCATACCGTCGTGTAATGTAAGGTTAAAAAAGTCCACCATTAGCTACACCTTTCTTCGGGGCGTTCCTGAAAACGTGACTTTACTTTTGTTTGCTAGTCACGTTCGCACATGATCATCTGTTTTCTTTTTTCTGACTTCTCATAAAGTATATAGGGTGTCTCACACCCAACTAAGCCAGCTTTCGTATGTCTTGGATGTAATTTTTTTTAAATAAAAGTGTGTAGAGAGACTAATGATTTGTAAACTATGAAGGATTGGAAATAAATACTGAAACAGTTATATCATACAAAGTAAAATCAAAAATATTTTACATAAAAAATAAAATTATTAAAAGCTTTATTATTTAGAGAGAATTATGTTATTTTTTTTTAGTATATGAGGTCATATAACTCAATTTTTATCAATTTTGTAGTTGGTGAATTTTGCAAAAATTCTGAATCGCAAACGCATGTCGTGGTAAATTTTAACATGATAATAATGATAAATTTAACAAAATTTAAATATATAGATTGACTTGCTTCGTTGCTATTTTCATCTTCGAAAGTCTTTCTTCTCTCTTACGTGCCTCTTCTCTATTTCCTCGTCCGACGATGGCGGTGGCACTTTCCGCTTTGTGGCCCTAAGATACACAGATACTTTGTAAAGGAGATGCATGTGTGTCAGTACCAACGATAGGATAGATAGGTGGGTCGACGAAGAATAAAGGTTGGGTGTGAGCACTTGACGCAAGGAGTCCGATGTTGATGTAGATCGTGGTGAGACTCTCATGCTCAAAGGAACCTTCTATAAGACTCATTGAGTTTGCCACTCGGACTTCTCATCGCGTTGTTACTCTGCATCGAATTTTCCTTAGTCGTATGTCTTCAGATAATGAACTTCTTTTATTCAATATCATTTCAATCTTATTAACAATTTATGAATTCATTATTCCATATATTATTTATAGGATTAGAAATTTTATATACTTTGATCCATTGGAACTTTCGATGATATCCTAATTTGGAAAAAGTGTTACAACTTTTTACAAAGAATTTTGTCTGAAAGAATTTAAAGAATGTGATTTAGTTTTCTAAAAAAAAAATTAATGTATTTTTTAATTGTAATGCATTTTTTAAGTATAATGTTACAAAAATTTAATGTTTTCATTTCGCGCAGTCCACAGTAAAAAGATTCAACTATAAATAATTTTCATTATTTAATATATCGAGCTTTGCTTTTATGAAATATAAAGTTTGTGCACTTTGTAATAAGTTTTATATATATATATTTATATACATATA